CCTTTCCTTTCCTTTCCTTTCCTTTCCTTTCCTTTCCTTTCCTTTCCCCTTCCCTTTCCTCCTATTTTCCTTCCTTCTCTTTACTATTTTTCTTCCTTTCCTCTCTTCTTTCCTTTCCTTTCCTTTCCCCTGCTTCTCCATTCTCCCTTCTTTCTCTTCCTTCCTACCTTTCTTCCTTTCCTCCTCCTCCTTTTTCCTTCCTGCTCCCCCCCCCCCCCCCCCCCCCCCCCCCCCCCGCCCAATATCTTCAGATACAGGTACCTGACAGGAAGCTGGAGGGGTCTTGCTCAGGGTTCAACTTTCGGAGGCAGAAGGGACTATCCGGACTGTCCGAAAGGGTCCTCTGCAAACTTTCACTGAGCAGTTCAGTGAGTCGCCTCCTTCGTCGGAAATTGATACGAAACTGGTAGAGGAGATCCCGGTCATCAAAATGGCACGGAGTGGAGACTGTGGAAAGAAAGAACCTACAGGTAAGTCCTTGACCTACAGCCATTCATTTAGCGACTGTTCAAAGTTAAAGAGGGGCTGATAAAAGGGACTAATGACCGTTTGTTCACACTTAACGTCCGTTGCAGCATCCCCTGTGGTCAACATGATCAAAATTCAGCAACTGGCATTGTCAGAAGACCCTGGGAAGGTCACAAATAACCGTCACTTGACCCCGAGATGCTACAACCATCATAAATACATGTTGGTTATCTAGTGCCCAAATGTTGATCACATGACTGTGGGAATGAACCATGGGACCATACGAAGAACAGTTGCAGGAATTGGGTATGTCTAGTTTAATGAAAAGAAGGACTAAGGGAGACATGATAGCAGTCTTCCAATATTTGAGGGGCTGCCCCAAAGAAGAGGGAGTCAAGCTATTCTCCAAAGCCCCTGAAGGCAGGACAAGAAGCAACGGGTGGAAACTAATCCAGGAGAGAAACAACCTAGAAGTAAGGAGGAATTTCTTGACAGTGAGAACAATTAATCCGTGGAACAACTTGCCTCCAGAAGTTGTGAATGCTCCAACACTGGAAGTTTTTAAGAAGAGGTTGGATAACCATTTGTCTGAAGTGGCATGTAGGGTTTCCTGCCTAAGCAGAGGGCTGGACTAGAAGACCTCCAAGGTCCCTTCCAACTCTGCTATTCCATTCTATTCTAATGCTGTAATGGTCACAAGTGCAAGGAATGGTCGTAAGTCACTCTTTAGCACCTTCAAACAATTGTTAAAATGGTCATAAGTTGAGACTACTACTATTCAAACCATTATGCCAGGGGTCCCTGACCCCCAGGGCTATGGACTGGCACTGGGCCACAGCACACCATAAAACCAGGCCTCGCAAATAAGCGAAGCCCCATCAGCAGGATGCTGGCAGCATGTGAAACCACACTCTCTCCGGTCCACGGGAAAACATCTCTCCACAGAACCGGTCCCTGGTCCCCCAAAAGATCAGGAGCCGCTGCATTAGGCCACATAGCTCTTCAGCGGGGTCCTCTGAGCTTAGTGGTTTCCTTGCAGATGTCTCATTACCAAAGTAGGTAACATCATCAGTGCTAGAAGGGAACGAGGGAAGAGGAGGAGGAGGACTGTGGGGTCCTTGGTGCTCTCTGAGCTTGGTGGTTTTCTAGCAGATGTCTCATAACCATGCAAGGTGTCTTCATCAGTACTAAAAGGGAGTGAGGTTTGGGAGGAGGAGGAGGAAGACAGCGACTGTAGGGTCCTTGGTGTTCTCTGAGCTTGGTGGTTTTCTTGCAGACATTTCATTACCAAACTAGGTGCTAGAAGGGAATGAGAGAGAAGGAGGAGGAGGAGGAGGAGGAGGAGGAGGAGGCGGAGGACTGGGGGTCCTTGGTGCTCTCTGAGCTTGATGGTTTTCTTGCAGACATTTCATAACCATGCTAGGTGTCTTCATCAGTGCAAACCCCACTCCTTGTAGCGCTGATGATGTTACCTAGGTGGGTAATGAAATGTCTGTAAGAAAACCTCCAAGCTCAGAGAGCACCAAGAAACCCTACAGTTTAACTCTCAGCTACCAATATTCTCTTCTCTCCCCTTTTTCAGTCTCGTGTGCCACCTTCTCAGGGTTATTATTTCCTATGGCATATATACCGTGCTGGATGATCCCGTGTTCAAGGAGGGTTTGGCAGAGTTCCGTAGCTTCCTTCCGGTTTGCGACCTCCCCTTCCTCCACCAGCCAGTCCACCATCTCACACCCCAAAAAGCTCCTCTGGTATTTAACCAGGTTCTCTTCTCTGGCTTTGAGAATGGAGTTGTCCATGCCGATCAGCCTACAATCAACAGACCAGAAGACAGAGAAACAAGGATATCTGTTGAGTTAAACAATCCACAAATCCAGTTCAGACATGCAGCAAATTCAAGTCCAGTTGGGCAGGAGTGCAGTTGGTCTTCCATTTACAACCGCTCGTTTAGTGAGCTCACTAAACAGCTCGTTTAGTGAAGATTGTGCAAAAGCTTCAATAATGGTAAAAGCGTGAGGAGGACCGCTCACAAGTCACCTTTTTCAGGTGTTCCTGCAGCTTGAAATGATTGCCAGATTTACAGATTAACCGAGTTGGAAGGGACCTTGTAGGTCATCTAGTCCAACCCCCCCACCACACCCAAGCAGAAGACTGTACACTATTTCTGAGAAAGTAATGGTTCTAAGTCCAAGACTACAGGTCGTCCTCAACTTATGATCAGGGGGTGGAATTCTACCTGGTCGGACCGGTTCTATAGAACAGGTTGTTATGATTCTGCCCAGTTCAGAGAACTGCCAAATTGCACCACTGGCTGACCCCGACCCTCCCCACCCACTCACTCCTTATCTGGCATGCGCATCATCAAACTTGCCTGCTAAATTGCTAATTTTCCTTCTCCCCCCCCCCGACCCTCAGCTGTTCTGCTGTGCCAGAAGATTTAAATTAGCTAGAAAGCAGGAAATTGTTGGATTTCTTGCTTTCTAGCTAATCTAAAAGCAAAGCAAAACCTTCCTTAGGACTGAAGCTTCTATTTTTCAGTGCAGACTCAGCTAGCGGATGGCAGATAGATAGATCTCTAAGTGAATCTGTGATTCTGTGAGCAACTTAATCTGCCTGCCTGCCTGCTTTGCCTGATTTTGGGTAAAAGTTGCTCTTTTTTTAATATTTACAATATTTACATACAAGCCATGCCCAGCCAGTCACGTGACCTCCCAAGCCACACCCAGTCAGCAAACCATGCCCAGCCAGTCACATGACCACCAAGCCACACCCACAAATTAGGCCATGCCCACAGAACCAGTTCAGAAATTTGAATCCCACCTCTGCTTACGACCACAACTGAGGCCAACATTTATGTTGATAAGTGAGAAATTCGCTGGATTTTTTTCCCCATTTTACAACTTTTCTTGCCTCATTTGTTCAGTGAATCATTGCAGTTAGTAAGTTAGTCACCCGGTTGTTAAGTGGCTCTGGTTTCACCCCAGGGACTTTGCTTGTCAGATGGTCACAAAAGGGGATCACCTGACCCTCCTGGGACACTGCAACCGTCATAAATGTGAGTCAGTTGTCAAGCATCCGAATGCAAATCAAGTAACCACGGGGATGTTGCAATGGTCACACGAGACCCTTTTTTTTTCAGTGCCGTTGTAACTTCAAACAGTCACTAACCAAACTGGTGTAAGTCAAGGTCTTTGTATCTATTGTCTTTTAAATCAGGGGTGGGATTCAATTTTTTTAACAGATCTGATCTCTAATCTAATAGAAGGTGTAAATGTTTAGCTAATCATTTCTTCCAAAATAGATCAGCAAAATTAAAAGAGAGAAACTACAATGGTTAATCATAGAATCATAGAATCACAGAATTGGAAAGGATCTCAATGGCTGGCTGGGGAATTCTGGGAGGCGAATCCAGACACCTTAAAAGTTGTCAAGTTTGAGCAAAACTGTTCTAGAGGGCTATCACTTTTTTCCAGGTCCATTATAACTTTGAACGGTCACTAAACGAGGACTTCCTTGTAATTCCAGGCCACGTCAAACGAAAAATGAGGTGCCAGAAATGAGGTTTTCTATAAAGATTTTTAGAAGGATTCTAATTCACCTATCACCACTGGAGGGCAGTATAAGCCTACTTAATTTCTCTATTTACTGTTTTAATTTGGGTTTTTTTTTTTGGCTCCTGACAAGTGCCTGAATTAGTCCTCAGATCCAGAAAGGAATGCAACGCCACCAAAGTGACTAGTCCCTGCCGTTTTCTTGGCAAAGTTTTTCAAAAGGCGTTTGCCAAGTTATGCAAAAGCACGGGAATTCTGTGCCAGTTTGCAGCAAGGGTTCTGTTGTGTCTCAGAAAATTTTGCCATTTTGTCTTTACCTTTTTGCACAGCCACTTTAGAGATATTTATTTATGTCCCGCCTTTATTATTTTTTATAAATAATTCAAGGCAGCGAACAAGCCTAACGCCCCTTCCTCCTCCTATTTCCCCACAACAACAACAACAACAACCCTGTGAGGTGGATTGGGCTGGGAGAGAGAGTGGCTGGCCTCAAGTCACCAGCTGGCTTCTGTGCCTAAGGTGGGACTAGAACTCATAACCTCCTGGTGATTGGCCCAAAGTCACCCAGTTTTTATGCCCTTCCTTCCTTCCTTCCTTCCTTCCTTCCTTCCTTCCTTCCTTCCTTCCTTCCTCCTTCCTTCCTTCCTTCCTTCTTTCTTTCTTTCTTTCTTTCTCCCTTCCTTTTCTCTCAATTTTTTTGCAAATCCATCTAGTTATAAAATACCTTCTTCCTCCCTCCCTCCCTCTTTCCTTCCTTCCTCCACAGAAAGGGGGGAGGAAGGAGATGGGAAATGAGAGAGGGAAGAGATTAGAGGAAGAAAGGAGATGAGATGGAGGGAGGGAGGGAGGGAGAGAGATGGAAAATGAGCAGGGGTGGCCTTCAAAAATATCAGCAACCGGTTCTCGGTCTGGCTTCTGACATGGCTATGGTGGGCATGGCCTAGTCAGCTTCTTGCACCACAGCGGAGGCCCGTTTTTCACCCACCCCAGGCTCCAGAGCCTTTCCTTGAGCCTCCCGAGGCTGGAAAGAGGCCCGTTTTCAGCCTTCCGGAACTTCCAGAATGCCCTTTTTGCACCCTCCCTAGGCTCCGGAGGCTTTCCTCGACCCTCCGGGAGGAGGAAAACACCCTCTCCCTGGCTCCAGGGGAGGCTCATTTTTCACCCTCCTTGAGCCTCTGGGCGGGGCCTGCACTTACCTGGCATCCAAACGAGGCGCATGGGGACTCCTGGGAGGGGAGGGACAGGGTGGGCAGGGCCAGCCAGGGGTGGGATATGCCGGTTTGCAGAACCAGCGATAAAACTAGCTACGGGTTCTCCCAAACCGGGGAGATCTGGTAGCAGCCCACCCCTGAAAATGAGGGAGGGCAGAGATGAGAGGAAGAAAAGAGATGAGAAGGAGGGAGGGAGATGGGAAATAAGGGAGGGAGGAGATGAGGAAGAAAGGAGATGAGAGGAAAAAAAGAGATGAGAGGAAAAAAAGAGATGAGAGGAAAAAAAGAGATGAGAGGAAAAAAAGAGATGAGAGGAAAAAAAGAGATGAGAGG